TGGACGATTTATCTTTAAGATAATTAAATATGACATTTTAACCAGGTTGGCAAACAAAATCGAACTGGTTTCAGTTACAGATATAAATTCCCTCTAGAGTTTACAGTTGCTTCACAGCGATATAAATGTTGAAAAGCTCAGGCGTCCACCTCTTAGTTCGCCTTTTTGTCCACCTAAAATATTCATAAGTATTACAAGCAATCAAGAGTTAATGAACAATCAACAAAGCATCCTATTACACTAGTAACCCCGCAATCTGATGCTATCATAATTTTCAGCAATGTCAGGAATGCTCACGAACCCCTAACATTTGCCAGAAAACTTATAACTAACTCAAGGTATCTTCCAAATAAGCTTCAAAATTGCATTTTTTTTTTATCAAATTTTAAATTCAGTCCTCTATATCCGTAGTACGCGCGCGAGGCTCAAACCTTTGTAGACTACTAATTTTTTTTTACTACTACTATTAAATCATATATCAAAAATCCATCATCACCATCGTGGCGAACAAAATAGTTTTTGCAGTGCTACAATAATTATTAAAAAGTCGTTATAACAGCTATCCATACAAAGTAATCCGTTAAAAATAACTTCGTCAAGATACATAATTTGTCAATTCATAAAAAAAAATCACTGGATAACCGTTCAAAAGACAGTTTTAACGTGTGAAATGCAATGTCTCTTATATTCTGCTAATGTTGTTGAACGTTTAATGTGTCTAGGCATCGAATTGAAAACATTTATTCCTTTAAAAAATAATGAATTCTGTGAAGCACAAGTCAAGAAATGTGGTGTTCTTATTTCATCCGCGTTTCTAGTATTATATCTATGATAGTCACTTCCTCTTTCAATTCGATCACACAAATATCGAGGCAGCAAACAGTTAAATAGGGTTACGGTATGTAATGTGGGTCTAGTCCTTTCATTCGGCCTATCACGCAAATAAATAATTAATTAAGGAATATTACACAAAAAATAAGGAAAATATTGATCACTGATGATTGATAAATGTGTACCACACACAAATCAATTTATATCACAACATTTCAATACATTTTCAGCTCTCGTAAGTAATAAAACTGGTTGAGAATATCACTCTGTTCGGAGTTTTTAGCCGCCATGACTTATAAGGTTAAGATGGGAAGGTTGACTGACGATCATCAAATGGCCTGATTATGGCATTTATTGAATGAAATTACCTGATAATACACACTAGACGTAAAACTCACAGTTACTGTTTGAATATTTTATGTTTATTTTATTTGTTTAACAACGTTTTCACAAGTAAATCATGGACCCAACTTTAGGGACACATTTCTTTTGTATGTTCCTAACTATGGCCCATGAAATTAATTTGACAGCATATAGCAATAAGAGTAACGTCAACAATGTTGTTTTGCATTTGGATGATAAGGAACGATCAGGAAGGGAGATTTTTTCTGCCAAACCTGTATAATGAACATCACAATGTTTTGATTTAGATATTCTGCGGTCAAAAGACGATAAGCGAAATTTTTAATTTTTAATTTTTAATTTGAGTGATTTAATGTAGTTTTCGTAAAATTTTCTCTAAGAAATATTTTGAGGAATGAAGAGCATTAAGTTAACACTGATAGTGATAAAAAAAATACATAAGAAAACGTTACCAAGAGCGTTTTTTTGAGGATCAAACAGGATAGGACGAAGTTGCATCCATAAATAGACCCAATTTGGGGACAATAGACCGATATTACATACATTTCCCTGGTGAGTTTTTGTCTTAAAAAAAGTAAGTTCTTCAACTTTTTGTGGTTCCTGATAGCAAACGGCATGATAAGCATATCTAAGCATACCATTTAGCAGTAGAATATCGTTTGCAGGTAAATTAATTGATGAGTTTTGATTAAAAACGTAATCTATGGCTACATATTAGACCGAGGTTAGGGACGTATACCCTACTTTAAAAATGAACACCATAGTCAAATATACAATTCTTTGCTTCACCGACAACCATTGTAAGGTGTCTAGCATCAAAGTTGAGGAAGTGAATCTATTACGTCTCAAAATCAAACGCATTATTTTATTCTGCAAGCGCTGTAATCTCGATATTTGTGTTGCATTGGACAGAAATAAAATGGATGGGCAAAAGTCTAGATGAGGAGAGATGATTGATTTGTATAGCTTTATTTTACTGGCAATAGTTAAATCGTTTTTCAATCGACATAGAATTCCATACTTCTTGGCAATTTTCTTGATGACATTGTCAATGTGAGAGTTGAACTTAAGTTTGTCATCAATAATCACGCCAAGATATTTAATCTCCTGAACGCGATCAATAGTCTCATCATCAATTACAACAGAGACGTTCTCATTTAATCGATTCCGCGAAATTACCATAAATTTAGTTTTACTTGTATTCAATTTTAACTGCTTACACTTCAACCATCTACTTAGATACTGCAAATCTTCATTCAAGTGTGAGACGGCAACTTCTAAATCCTTAGCTGCAATGAATAACACAGTATCATCTGCAAAAAGGTTAATGTCGCAAAACCGTAAAACACGTCGCAAGTCATTAATATACATAATAAATAAAAGGGGCCCTAATACACTTCCCTGGGGCACTCCAAGGTTGTTCCCCACGGGACTGGAAACAGAATCATTAAAAACAGTCCGTTGAGTTCTGTCAGACAAATAGCTTTCAAACCATTTATATGCAGTACTCGTAATTCCAAAGCGCTTGATTGTACTTAACAGTAAGGGCCTAGAAATTGTTTCAAAAGCGCGTTTCAGATCCAAAAAAACAACAACAATCGTATCTTTACGCTCCAAGTTGTCTTTCCACTTTGCTAACACCAAATTCAATGCAGTTTCACAAGAATGACCTTCCCGATATCCCGATTGTTCTGGTATCAACAAAGAGTTGCTATTCAAATACTCCAACAGCTGGCCTTTAACAACAAGTTCTAAGATTTTCTCTAATGTGTGCAACATGTTGATGGGGCGAAACTCTTCGGCTTTAATCGTTCCAGCAACTTTTTGAATAGGAATCACTAAGGATTCCTTCCAAATTTGTGGCACATGTCCATTCTGCAATGATTCATTAATAAGGTCCAGAAAGATGCGGCCAATGACATGAAAGCAATCTTGAATAACTCTAGCATCCCATTGAAACATTGTGACACAAGTTTAGGTTACTAGTTTATTAAATAATCTAGGTTCTATTTAGGATTATATCTGAAAAATCCAAATCAGGCCAACGCCCATCCTACACCTAAACCTGTTCTAATCCACCTGAAATGACTAACGAATGGAAGACTTTGACTACCCAGCCATGCAATAGTCTCATTCCGTACCTTATGGCAACTTGATGATTCTATTGCGCTCATCTTCTGGCACCACCCAGGGGAGACTTGGTCTTGTACCCAATGCTTAACTTATCTCCATTCCACTCAGCTACTCGCAATTTCTTGTGATATAGTGGGCGGAATATTATTATATGAGACAATTCAATGCAGACGTCTTTCCAAATTTGGCAGATCGACAGGTAATCGGTGAGTTACCACGATAGTTGCTATTCAACAACTCGACAACGTCCCATCGTCAACGCCTGCTATGAAAATTTCCCATTGCAGACGCCAACGAAATGACGTCATCGAGCTATCGATCAACTACCCTGGTTATCGCCTGGTACCTTATAGCACGATGCTAGGAGGCGAACCGGAAGAATCGATGAGCTACCTCCCCCGTAATAGGTGATTCAGTAGTCTTGTCGAAAAACTGTTTCAGTTCATCTTTGTTTGATACTGAACTGCTTGCCGTCCAGATCAAACCCGCAAAAACCACCACCTCCGTTTCCACATCGCTATCGTCGCTTAAATATGATGATTGCAGAAAAGCCAATGCACTAATTTCCGGTTTCGAATGATCATGGCAGCAATTATTCGAAAACTTCCTAAATCGATCTTCATTCTGGAAATTTCTCGTTGCATATTCAAATTGAACCGGAAATTCACAGTTTACCAAAATTTAACACTCGTATTGAGCGATTTACGCGAACATTTGTAATTTGATAGACAGAGCGATGTCTAGTTGTAACTAAACCATTGGGTGACGGGCTCATCATAAAAACAAACTCCAAATACCTTGGATGTGAATGTGATAATCTTCCGGATATTGACATAACCCAGCAATCAACAACCCGTTTTCCATGCAACAAAGTGTTCCCCCAATGAATCGTTCAAATTACACGCTATTTACTCGCCGTGATTACTACTCATCACGCCACATAGTGAAGGTACGGACATAATTTCCTCCATATACCTACCTGCTCGTTTCAGACCCATCCACACAAAGTACCCGAAAATTAACTCAAATAACACACCTTTTCCCACCTCACCTCTCGGCCATTGCTTGCAAAATTGACCCCCGATCGACAGCGACTGTAGGGCCACGCAATCGATTAACCAAACATCTCCTTCTATACCCACTTCCTTATGCGGTAATAGTTAACCCGTTCCTACAGCATTGATTTTCGGTGGAGACCCACGATCGATGATGGTATGAATCACACTGACAGGAGGATCGCTGTCGTGAATAATTGCACAATACCCACGGGTGCGCGTACACTGGTTTCATAATTTAGGTATTGACTAGTTTTATTTTTTCGACGACGATGACGAGATAAACACTCACACCTAGAGGGTACTGGATTGACACCGCGGACTGTGCTAAGTAAACCGGATAAACGAAGAAAAAACGTTCATTTTCTGTGATTGGTGCACCCGACCCGTCCTTGAACGATGCCGGTGCAGGCTACTTTGTCAGTGGGCAGCAATCTGCTCCATCCAAGCTCGTCGTGGTTATTTATGGAAGCACACATTTCGGTGGTGCAAACTTGAAATCCGAAGGTTAACGAGAAATTAAGTGGTGGTGGTACTTGTGCATCTGCAGATGTGAGATAAATAAAAATCTGTCCCCAGCAAAAGTGAAGTAATGCTCCGATCGTTGTTCCAATATAGGACTCACGAAGATCGTGTAAATCTTGACGGCGGTCGAGGAAAGGTGCCCGAAGTAAGCGATCGAAGTCGGTGGAATCACTGATTGCCAGCACGATGCCCCTGCTGCGGTGGAGTTCGTCCAAGAAGTTGACCAAGCTGCTGCTGATCCTGCTGAGTGGGGTGCTGACGCTGCTGACGACGGCGAAGGCGAAACCAACGCTCAACTTCGAGCTGTCCAAGATTCCCGGATTCACGCAGATCGTCGAACGGAGGCTGCAGGATGCGATGAAGAGTTACAGGTGAGTTGGTTGTTTGCTTTTGGGTGGCAGTACGAGTTTGGGGTCAAGGTCAGTAGGGGCTGCAAGTGTCGGCAAGGTTGGAACGTCCTAGAAATTATATTAGGATAGAAACTCAAATAGCTGAGCTTTACCGATTCAGCGTTTCGAGTGAACTAACCTGAAAAATACACGTTACATAACAGCTGGAAAACTTTAAATATAAGTGTCATTCCTCAATACTCTTTTCACTATTTTCATAGTAGGCCATGATAATTTTTTTTAAATTGTAGGATTGTGGGCGATACTCATGTGAAAAATTCATGATATTGCCATCACTATGCATTGTGAATGTTGTAAATTCCTAGCATTTCTACGTATCCGGAATAATATCATGGATTAATGTTATCACTAAACACAGAAACGGCGGCATTAACTGTGGCTAGGATCATTGAACTACCAATTCCATTAGAATGGAAACATTCGTCACTTCCTCCTCTGTGAAGCAAGAAGCTAGTACTTGGTAATAAAAGCACGACTGGTGCTAGATCTATTGCGTCAATCTAGTTACGGTGGCATAATAAAACGCTGTGAGTTGACATTTTTGTATTGCTTTAATATTTGGTGTCTACGCAAACCATACCTAATATATGTCCAATCATCCGATCTTTTACGTCACGCAAAACTTAAAACAGACTTGACATAGGATCTTGCTTCTTTTGACACTTATATGGTTAAAGAAATATTCCAACATCCGATGACTTGCGTGGATGAATTTTGATCTCGGTCATTGGAATTTAGAATCTTTAAACAAATAGGTTAATGATATCAAAAAGAAAAATTGTAATAGGGAAACTTACGTCTGGTAGCATTTTTTCAGCGACGTGTTTGTCACGACACGAAAAAATCCGGACTCATTAAAAACACTGCCATTAAGGCCTTTTTTGAGTAATTTTTTTCAAAATTTAATGAATCAAGCTAAGAGTGTATAGAATCACAGTACACGGAGAAAAAATATTACCCAAAATTTGAATTCTTTTTGCTTAATATTGAGTTCAGCCTCTCACTTGCACTCTTTATTGATGTCAAAAAAGGAACGAGAGGTTCTACCCAACGATATAGTTCAGCCCAATAATTTACTTTTGGGTAAATTGCATATTCTCAAATTGACGTGAATTAAACTTAATTTTGGGTAGAATATACTTACGAGTAAGTAATTTTTTTGCTGGTGTTAAGGTTCAATTTACTTTGATGCATTTTCGAAAAAATCGAAAGCAGTTTTTTTCGACGCATTATTTCAGATTGCTAAAAGCTCGCGTCATTTTGTGTAGAATAGCAAAAGGAATCGAATAGTGCGAGCATTTTGCAATCTGAACTAATGCGTCGAAAAAAACTGCTCTTGAATTTTTCGAAAAAGCATCAAAGTAAATTGAACCTTAAATGGAAACTACTATATGCGATGTACCCAAATTTTAGGGCTGGAAGCGATCACTGCTGTCAGAAATAGTGATTTTAGTGACCATGTTGTAACCAAATAGTGACTTTTTTTTATAATGCGTTTATTTTTCCAGGCTCATTTGCTATAGCTTTGCGGAGCCAATATTCATTGATTAGATTACAAAATTACTTAAAACTAACGTTAGTAAAGCGGGGGCCGATTACTCGCGGCTATCTCGAGGTTAGGGGTGACAAATTGTAACAAATGGATGGCAGGGAAGGGATTGTGAACACAAGGTTTGGAGAGCAATGTGCTCTTGATCTCGAACTAAGCGACACTCTGATGAAAAAGACAAACATGGGGGTACACCGATGGGCAGCTAACAACTTGGGAGAACACAAGATGACACTAACTACTAAATTCTCAGATCTATCCGTTTTAAAAACACATAAATTAAATTCAAATAGTCGAGATCTCGGCTCGCCAAGACATCTCTAACGGGTATCGCGGGTTGTTTTCCTCGGGCCCTGAGGGATGTGGATAACTCAGATCTGGCAACACGGTGTAAATTACACGATCAAACAACATGCTCGATATCGTGATAACCACTGCCACACACACATAAATTGCTGCCTGAGAGCCCAATTCGATAGAAGTGCGAGTCTAACGAGCAGTGATTGGACATAAGCCTTGATATAACGCGTATAAAGTCGCGGCCCATGTCCAACCCTTTGAACCATGGTTTGTTCAACACCTGTGGGAGAATAGAATGTAACCATCTTCCCAATTCACCATCATTCCATTTGTGTTGCCAACTGATGAGGACTTGCTGACGAGCAATGGAGAAAAATTCGTTGAAGGCGATTTGTCGCTCAAAAATATCGCCTTCCATAGCGCCCACCTTAGCCAATGAGTCCGCTTTCTCATTACCCGGGATTGAGCAATGAGATGGGACCCAAGCTAAGGTGATAGTATAGGAGCAGTTAGATAAAGCACTCAGTTTAGATCGTATTTCAGGCAGGAAATACGAGGAGTGCTTCATCGGCCTCATTGAACGAATAGCCTCCAATGAGCTAAGACTATCCGTAAAAATGAAATAATGGTCAGAAGGTAGTGAGGCAATTCGCTCTACTGCGTAAAATATAGCTGCGAGTTCCGCAACGTATACTGAGCATGGTTTCTGCACTTTATAAGAGGCGCTATGAAATTGATTAAATACACCAAATCCAGTGGAAGCATTTATGGTTGACCCATCTGTGAAAAATCTTTTATCGTTACTTACATGGTGGTAATTGATTGCAAAAATGGAGGGAACAACCATCGACCGATGATGATCTGGTATTCCATGGATTTCTTGCATCATGGTCAGATCAAAATTTACAGAGGAACTATAGAAGGCTTGAAAGCAATCACGATTGGAGATTAATGAAGAAGGACCAACCTCCAGCGTCATGTACTCATAGTACAAACTCATGAATCTTGTTTGAGGATTTTGGTCGAGCAGCTTCTCAAAGTGTTCTATTACCAAAGGATTCAGTACTTCACAACGGATGAGAAACCGGAAAGACAGCTCAGCGAAACGATCTGTCAGTGGGAGAACACCCGCGAGTACTTCGAGGCTCATCGTATGAGTCGAGTGCATGCAGCCTAGCGCAATACGAAGGCAACGGTATTGAATCCGTTGCAGCTTAAGAATGTGTGTTTTTGCCGCGGATTGAAAGCAGAAGCTACCGTACTCTAGAACCGACAAGATGGTTGTTCGATACAACCTGATCAGATCTTCCGGGTGTGCTCCCCACCAAGTTCCAGTAATTGTACGAAGAAAATTAATTGTTTGCTGGCATTTTTGTTTCAGATACGCAATATAAATAGTGACTTATAGTTGTAAAAATAGTGACTAAAAGTGACCTAAGAGAAGGCACATCAAATAAAAATTTGATGTTTTAGACTTATTCAATTATTAGCTCATAAGTACTTATGTACGATATGAACCTTTAAAGCGAATGATTCAATAGAAAGTTTATAATCAAACCGGGAATCCTCAGGAAATGTTATGTTTCCTTAAACTACCTGGAAGTCTCAGAGAATTAAAAAAAATCTTACTAAGGATATTTTAAAGAAAATAATGAATTTAAAAAAAAACCATTTAATTTTTCTCGCTATTTTCTTTCAACACTTTGAACTTTAAAGATTCACACTGAATTAATCCTCAGTAAAAAAACTTTGGTTTTGGAACATACATATTTCCTAAAAAAAATAATTTGAACTAGTTCTGAATTTAACAGCTATAATACTTCAAGAATTTTCAAGAATCAGGAGTTAAATTCTATGCGTAGTTTTAAAGACTCGAGGAATTTTAATATAATTTCTAAGGACCTCATTCCATGAGAGCTCTGGAAAAAAAAAACACTCAGAAAAACATCAAATGCAATCTGCTTTCAATGTAGTTCTGAGGAATTTTTAGATTTCATGCGAAGTCTTAGTTTTGAGTAGAATTACAATAAAACCTGAATTGAGTTAAAAGTAAATTTCAATGAAAAATCTTAAGAATTTCTGAGGAGCACAACTCTTGTGAACTTCACCGGAAAATTCCAAACGCATTCTGAGGATAATTTCATAAAGTTTGTGGGAAAAAATGAATACGGAGCACAAGTCTTTGGAATTTGTATGAAAATACTAATAGGAGGATTACAATTAATTGTGAGAATAACTCCAGAACATCTTCAGAGGAATTCGGAAAATAAATTCAGGAGAGGAAATCTAAGGAATTTCTGAGGAGAAATGCCAATGAATTGTTAGGAGACTTTCAATGTGAGTAGAATTCCAAGAGAAGGAGTGAGATTGAAAAGCAAATCTGAAATGAATTCAATGAATACTCGGAGAATCTTTCCAAAGGATTTCAAATTGTGGAGAATTTCAAGGTAATTCCGAGGAAAACTTAAAGAAAATTTAATTCTGACGATAGCTTCATCGAAATTTTGGGGAATCTCCGTTGAATATGGGATGGACTATTTTGAGGTCTTCAGAACTACTTGAGAATTCTCAAATTTTTCCTGAAGTTAATGAAACTGCCTCAATTTTTCTAACGATCATGGATCTTCTTTAAAGGTTTTAAAAATTCACTTAAGTTCTTTAAACTTCTTTAAAATTTATATGACTTCTCTAATGTTGACGGAACTGCTCGGAGGTTCTCTGTTCTTTTCTGAAATTCTCAAAACTTGTTTAAAGTTTTTGCAGTTCTCATGAAGCTTGTTGTACTGCGCTGAATTTAATTAAATCGTCCTAAAAATGCTTCAGTGAACTTCTGAATTTATGCGAAGATCTCAAATAATTATTTAACGTCTCTGTAGTTATCTGAAAATCTGGGAACTGCTTTAAATTCCCTACTTCTTAAACTAATGGAACTGACTTGCCCCTGAAATTTTTCAAATTTTCGGAGCTTACTAAACTTCTATCAAAAGCTCCCGCATTTTGCTAATGTTCATAAAATTTCCTGAAGTTCACGAATCTCATCTTAACCTCCATAGATTTCTATGACGTAATGCTTCTGAAGACCACTGTCCTTCTGTGAAGTTTCCGAAGTTTT